ATACGAGCCATCAGAGACTCCACAATGTGTGTGTTTTTTTCCCAATCCCCAAAAGAGCAGGCAGGCAGGGAGAGACCACAGCCCTATAGGAGCCACCAGAGACCCCACAACACACGCAGTTTCTCCCTTCCCCAAAAGAGCAGGCGGGCGGAGGGAGGCAGCACAACACCATATAAGCCACCAGAGACTCCACAATGCGCGTGTTTTTTTCACGTCCCCAAAAGAGCAGGCAGGGAGGGAGCAGAGCCCTATAGGAGCCACGAGAGACCCCACAAGGCGCGCGGCTCCCGCCGTGCCCAAGGGAGCGGGCGCGCGTCACGGCGGCGGGCGCAGGCCCGGGTTGTGCAGCACGAAGTGGCAGAGGCCGGGCAGGCGCCGGAAGCCCAGGCGCTCCTGCAGCCGCTGCATGGGCGCGTTGTCGGGCGCCGTGTGGCCGAAGGCGGGGAAGGCGCGGGCGTGCGCGCGGCGCGCGGCCAGCGCCGTGASCGCCTGCATGTGCCCGCGGCGCCGGTGCGCGGGCAGCGTGTAGCCCAGCGCGCTCGTGCCGAACGGGTCCATGAGGGCCCAGCAGACGGGCCGCGCGGCGCCGTCCAGCAGGCACAGGCTCGGGAAGCGCTCCAGTGTCCGCGCCACGTAGTGCCGGCTCCGCGCGTTGCCGCCGTACGCCCAGGTGTCGTTGAGGAGGTCGGCGTGCGCCGGGCTCAGCGAGCCCACGCGCACCTCGGGGGGCAGCCTGTATTGGGGGGTGCCGTGAGGCGGGGCGGGGCGGCGTGGGGCGGCCCCGGGGACGGGCAGGCGCTCACCGCGGCTCGGGCAGCGCGCCGGGGTCGGGGTGCAGGTACGTGTAGAAGGGCAGCACCTCCAGCTCGACGCCCCTGGGCGCCGCCGCCGCCTGCGACGCCGGCACCAGCCCGTCCTGCAGCCCTGCGAGGGGAGCGGCGCCGCGGTCACCCCCCGCCACGGACACCGTGTGACGCCGCCGGCGTCCCCCTCCTCGCGCCCAGGACCTCCCGTTTCCAGCCGCCTCCAGCCCCGCTCCCTGCCCGCCGGGTCCTCACGGTGCTCCCAGATTCCCAGCCCAACCCGAGGTGCCCCCCAGGGACACCCGGGCTCAGCCCCATCCTGTGGCGGGGTTCATGGGTCCCCCGTGCCCCCCGGYGCTGCCCCCCGGCGCCACCGAAGATGTGGAAGGCGGCATCCCAGCGCACGGCGCCCGGGCTCTCCAGCAGCGCCCGGTAGGCGCCCACGTCGCGGTAGAAGGCGGCGTGCGTGTTCATGTAGCAGTCATCGGCGGGCACCTGTGGGGCAGCACGGTGGGTGTATGGGGGGTGCATGCGTGTGTGCCCCCCCGTCAAGCGCCCCGCGCCCCGCGGCGGCCACCTCGCCGCGGTGCCGCGCCAGCACCGCGCGGAAGTCCGGCCACGCGTCCACCACCACCTCGAAGTCGCCCGGGTTGCCTCGGTTGATGTTCATCACGGCGCCGTGCACCTGCGGGCCCCGAGGGCGGCGCTATGGGGCAGCCTGCCCTCAGCAAAGATGGCCGCCCGCGCCCCCCGCGCCTCGCCCCGGGTGAAGGCGGAGGGGGTGGAGTCGGGAGCTGGGGGGTGCCCGTGAGGGGGTGGGGCTTGGGGAGCACCGCCCACAAGTCGTGGCGGGTGGGGCAGCAGGAGCTATTCGGATTGGCCAGCGGGCTGCCTGCGCTGGGRTTGGCTGGGCTGCCCCGGCCTAGGAGGTGATTGGCTGACTCAGACCTAAGCCGAGCTGAGATTGGCTGGCTCCAGGTGGCCCAGTGTGGACTGGACTTGGGACCCACAGCAAGTGGGGTGTCGCTGTGGGTCAGGGGGCCACCCCGGGGTCCCTGCCACCAGTGGGGCGGGGGGTGAAACCCCTGTCCCCAGCACTGGCAGGGCGAGAGGCAGCGGGTGGCACTGGGGTCACCAGTGGGGCAGGGGGGCTGGTGACACTGGGGTCCCCATCAGCAGCAGAGCGGCAGGTGACACTGTTGTCCCCGTCACCGGCAGGGCGCGGGGGACAAGAGGGGCCACCGGGGTCCCCGTCGGCGGAGGAGGGGTCCGGGCGCCCCGTGCGCGATGTGGGGCGGGCTAGGGGTGCGCGCGGGGCGCCCTCACCGGCAGCGCGAGCGGCAGGCTCCCGCGCAGGGCTGCCTCCAGGCGCTGCAGCCGCGCCGGGCAGCTCAGGATCAGCATGGCCCTGCCGAGAGACCCCCGCGTCGGGCGGCACCGAGCCGCGACCCCCGGCCCGCCGCCCCCGCCGCCTGGGAGCTGCGGCGGTGACGCCAGCGGGTCCCGGGGCTGCAGGGCGGGCGGTGACACTCACGGGTCCCTGCGGCCGTGGGGCAGGCGGTGACACCAGCGGGTCCCTGTGGTTGTAGGGCGGACGGTGACGCCAGACACCAATGAGTCCCTGTGGCTGTAGGGCAGGAGGTGACGCTGACGGTCCCTGTGGTTGTAGGGCGGACGGTGACACTGACGGTCCTTGTGGTTGTAGGGCGGACGGTGACGCTGACGGTCCTTGTGGTCGTGGCACAGGCCGTGACACTCACGGGTCCTTGTGGCCGTAGGGCAGGCGGTGACGCTCACGAGTCCCTGTGGTTGTAGCCAGGCGGTGACGCTGGTGGGTCCCTGTGGCCGTGGGGCACGCGGTGACGCTCACGGGTCCCTGTGGTCGTGGGGCACGCGGTGACGCTCACGGGTCCCTGTGGCCGTGGGGCAGGCGGTGCCGCCGGCGGTCCCTGCGGTTGTGGCACAGGCGGTGCCGCCGGCGGGACCCTGCGGCCAAGGGGCAGGCGGTGCCGCCGGCGGCTCCCTGGGCCGCTGCCAGGCACCACGGCTGAGCGGGTGCCCCCGGCCCGGGGGGCGGAGGGCAAGGCGAGCCCGTGYCCCCCCTGCGCCACGCGGCTCCGGACGCGCCTGGGGGATCCTGCCCTGGAGACGGGGCCCTGGGGGCGCCGGTGCCACCGCTGAGCCCCAGCGCGCTGGGCATGGGCACCCTGGGCACCCCCACGCCACCCCGACSCCACGCTCTGCTGGTCACTGAGACCCTGCCCGATGTCCCCCCCTGCATCCGCTAGTGACAGACTCCCCTGCTCCCGTGTCACCTCCTGCTGCCCAGTGCTCCCCTGGGCACCCTGGGGTCAGGGGGGTGCTGGGAGCGTGGGTGTGGCAGAGGCCGGGAGCACCCCAGGGTGCAAGGCGGCAGAGGGGACGGTGCAGGGGAGCAGGAGGTGCCGTCACAGCCCACAGCAGTGCCTGACCCCATCCCGCAGGTCTGGGGGACACCGGGCGCAG